GGATTTTGCACGTGTTCGACCTATAGTAGCGATCCTCCAATTTTGACCGATTGTACTGTGTAATCGTGTAAAAATGGAAGTTATTATATCGAGTTCTTAGGTTTTCGCGATTATTACACATAGGAAATGAAACTATTTTTCCGGATTTAAATCGCGTATACTTGTTTTTTCAAACAAACCGACGTTTCGGGCCCTTTACAGGTCCCATGGTCACGGTTGACTGTCAACCGTCGGTTTGTTTGAAAAAACAAATATACGCGATTTAAATCCGGAAAAATAGTTTCATTTCCTATGGAAGTTATTTTTAAGTAATAGCGACTGTGAACTTGAACATTTGCTCATTTATTGGACTGGGATAATAGTGACAGCGACCAAGAGCAGCTTGTGTCCTCAAGAACGTTTAGGCGTATAAACTTCATGGTAAGTTTAACTGACACTGAATTTACATCCAAATTTAGGCTGAACAAAACATCAGTTGAATTTGTTTTAAATGAAATAATGCCGTTTATCAAAGTGAAATCAAAACGGTATTTTTATAAGTTAGTTTATTTATCACGTCACGAATATGAAGAAACATCAACAAAACATAAATTGACTCTAACATTTCGCCGCTGCCGCCATGCGCCGTCCCTTTATTTTTTTCCATCCTATATGGCCGTCCCGCTCGTTTGACAATAAGCGTTCCGTTCTGGACAATAGACGTTCCGTTCTGTTCCTCGAAACACGTTATTCTTGACGTACTTACGGTTTAAATATTTTATACTTGAAAGTTTGCAATTAATTCATATTTTTGCCAAAATCACATGTATAAATAAATTAATATTAGAAACATAATCACCATTTTATTCACTAATTCATTTAATGATCTTTTACTCCGATTGAGTGGAACTAAACGTCAGAGATGGAGTTAACTTAAGACCGATCGAAGGGCGCTAGAGCCGAGATAGACATATTGAAATACAGATTCGGCAGAGATCGATGGATCAAATAAAATCTGGATAGAAAACTATCTTAGATTCAGGATCAAATATAGAAAGCGGCCGATAGACAACGACAAATTTATTATTATTATTTATTTAAACACTATTATGTCAAAGTCAAAGTCAAAGATCATTTATTCCATAGGTAAAATAAATTTACACTTGAAAACGTCACATTTACATTACATTACATTATGCTACTGCTGACTACGCTGACTTCCATGAGAAGAACAAGCAAGAAACTTTAGGGATTGCTCTTTTCAAATAAACTTAAATGCTATGGAATACACTTTGAATCGAATTTGTGTGGATTCTGGAGCCGTGTGGTCATTCCATATATCTTTATCTAACACGTAGTCTTCAATTTTGTAATATGACTTTTCGATCAAAATATTTTTAATGTAGTTTTTAAACTTAGGGAATGATAAACTTAATATATGCTCCGGAATCGTATTGTAAAAACGTATATAGTTTATGGGGATAAAAGAGTCGTTTACCTTGGTTAAACGAAATCGTGGTACCATGAGTTTGGACTTAGTTCTAAGGTTAATATTATGGATATCTTCTTTCTTATTGAAATTATGTATATTTTTACGGGTATATCAAATATTTGAGTAAATGTAGGTACTGCGATGCCACAGTCATGATACCAGTCTCCTTAAACTTTTCTCTGAGAGAAACCCGAGAGCCTAGACGGGATACAGAACGTATCGCTCGTTTTTGCAATACAAATATAGTTTGAATATCTGCCGCTTTACCCCACATGAGAATTCCGTGGGACACTATACTATGGAAGTAACTAAAGTAAACTAGTCTAGCGGTATTAACATCGGTAAGCTCACGTATTCTACGGACTGCGTATGCATTAGAGCTTAATCTGCTGACCAGGGAAGATATATGTGGAAACCATTGAAGTTTACTATCTAAGGTCCCAAGAAGATTGCTTTATTAACAAGGTCTAACTTTACACCGTTTATTTCTATGCTTGGACTAGTCGATTTTAAGTTAGGTAATTCAAATTTAACACATTTTGTCGTCTTGGCATTAAGCAATAAATTGTTAGCATTAAACCAATAAAGTACTTTAAAGAGGGTATCATTAATATGGTCATAGTTAATGTCATGTCTGTCTGTTTTAAAAATCAAGGATGTATCATCAGCAAACAATACTATGTCGCAATGGTCCTTAACAAAGAACGGCAGATCATTAATACAAATCAGAAATAAGAAAGGTCCAAGTATTGAGCCCTGCGGAACACTCATTTTAACCGGAGAACCCAAAGAAGTCACTCCATTCATGTCTGCTTTCTGAATTCTACCGTTGAGATATGACGAGACAAGTTCCGACGCATTGCCATTCCATTTCTAATAAGAGTAATATGGTCAACGCAATAAATGCCTTTGAGAGGTCGCAGAAAACACCAATAGCGTTCTAACCAAAAGAGAACTTCAGTTTTTT